AAGGCATGGTGTATCGGTAGTGGTTAGGGGATATGGGTATAGTTAGAAAGGCATGGTGTATTGGCAGTGGTTAGGGGATATGGGTATAGTTAAAAAGCCATGGTGTATCTGTAGTGGTTAGGGGATATGGGTATAGTTATAAAGGCATGGTGTATCGGTAGTGGTTAGGGGATATTGGTAAAGTTAGAAAGGCATGGTGTATCAGTAGTGGTTAGGGGATATGGGTATAGTTAAAAAGGCATGGTGTATCGGTAGTGGTTATGTTCGATACTCCTGTTACAGAGATCAAGTTGAATTCTTTACTAAGATTTGTGCAGTCACGTGGCACACTATACTGGTTTTTTCAAATTCACATGTTGCTCAAAGACTTACCAAAACAAATACAAAATAAAAACGTGTAGAAGGAAATAAAGATAGAAAGAAGAGAAAAGACAATATCGCAATTAATATCATTATCTGTCTCTTAAACTATCTCCACTTCGTTTTCCAAATGTAAGCTTCTTCATCATTTGTTTACACTTTTATTTGAGCAGGGTTGCCTCTTCAGTTAGAATACAACGCATATAAAGAGAAGGAGCATGGGATTGTGTGTGTATGTGTGTGAGATATATATATATATATATATATATATATATATATAGAGAGAGAGAGAGAGAGAGAGAGAGAGAGAGAGAGAGAGAGAGAGAAAGAATGATATGAATCATGTTTACCTGTACATGAATACATATATTCATTCTTTACGCGATAAAGTCTCCGGATAGCAGAAAACCAGTTATACAAAAGCTGCTTTAAAACATTCGAGTGATGGGGTTAACCTCTGTTCGGAATGTCATTGATTCCATTGTTTCGACTCTAAGTACTCTCATTAACCATAGTAACCCGTTTCTGAAGGGAGGCAGTGGCTTATTTTGTATCATTATAATTTAATTAAGATACAAGATTTTCCATTTGAAATGTTTGTTCTCTTGGCCGCAAACAACTCGTATGCGTATTTTTGGTACAGACTGCCATGCACTCATTTTGCTCCTGAATATTCTATCTTTAGGTAACGTTAATATTAGAGTTGGCGATGTACTCTCTTAAAAAAAGAGAGTGAATTTTCACTCTATTTTCACTTTCTTGGGAGTGACGTCCGTGATCCCTTGTTTAGGAGTGGAAATCGATTGATTTTAGAGTGCTCTCTAGAAGAAAAGAGTGAATGTTCACTCTATTTTCACTACATTTTCACTCTCCAGAGGAGTGACGTCCGTGATTTTTGAAAATTCACTCTTTTTTTTAAAGAGAGTAACACTGTTCATGACGATAAACCTGTATTTCAGTATTTTGATCATAATGTTATATAAAGAGAATGGATTGAGAGAGGTAACATGAGTGTCGTATAACTTCATGTTCATAAATATCACTTCATGTTCTATTTTCGGCTTTAAACTAGGTTTAATACACTAACCACCGGCACCGCACTGAGAACAACTTACAGCACATCACTTTGACCTTAAAACCAGTGACGTAAACATTTATGTGATTCGTTTTCTGTTGTTGAAACATTGTTCAATTTGTGCACCGATCCATGGTATTGCAGAGCTGAAAAATACCCCATATTTCACAATACGCACTGCACCTCTCTTGTCAGTTGCATGCAATCAAACTGTACACTGTAATGCTACATCGTTAGCTGATAGTAGAGAGGTCTTCATCACAACGGGATAATCCTGCAAACTACTCGTAAGTCCTGATCTTACATGAATTATGATACTTGTAATCATCATGACACAAAATTAAGAAGTTAGATAAGTAATGGTTGGCTTCTTTCTAGGCCTATAGTTGTGACGATTTCAGAGACGCGCCATAGTTTGACAGCAATGATTAGCGTGTATTAGTCGCCTAGCATTTATTTTATTTTACCTAACCGTTACTGTATACATCGTGTCGAACTTACGAGCAATCGGAATGGCAGAATATATAATAAAGGGAAAAGTAAGAAGGAATGTTTGATGTTCTATCAAGGCCTCATGTCTGATAGACGCCGAGCGACTAAAAAGAGACCAGTATTCGCGGAAACCCGAGTGAACGTCAGAGCGAGTGGCCCAGCCAAGTAGCCTTTAGTAATCTGGTTTTAATTTCTTATCTTAACCCTCGTTTCCGACTGGAATTCTCTACCGAAATGGTAGCGTCTAATCACCGAACGTATCATCGCGGGACGTCGGCATATATTATGCATCACGTTCGCAGTAAAATCTATGTAGTACAAATACCTATAACATCGAACGAAACGAGTTGGACTGGTTCCATTTATATACATGAAAAGTCCACTTATCTCACTTACATTTGGTAGCTCAAGTCATCAAATGCTTCATGTTCTATTGTAATTGTGCATGATAAATAGATTTGGATGTGATATTTTGTATTTATCATTTATATTTTTATCTCATAAGCAAAACTAGTTTAAGTCTTTTACCTTTTCATACATGTTTTAATAATGAACGAATCGTAAGCTAAATCAACTGGAAGATGGCCATTCTGATAGGTCAATAATTCCAGAGTCATGAATACTTCATGCAGAGCAGTAAAGCCAGAGTCCAAAGGCCTCGCGGCTAAAGCCACTCGATCGCGCGTTCACCCCGGGTTTCTAGACTCATCTCAGCCGCTGACTGGGGTGGAAAATAGCCAGAGTCACGAGGCCTTGTCAAAAGGCTAATCTGAAAGCGAACAATGAGACATTCTGGTCTGAACAGATTATAAGATTGAGTAGATGAAAATAATGTCATCACCATTGAACTCTATATCATAAAGCATGACATGATTTCACACTCTGTCAGTAAACATGTTGTAATACTCGGTAAGCTATGAAGGTATGACGTAGTGGTTAGTGGGTATGTTGTGGTACTGATAAGTTTGAGTATCATGCCAGATAAGATCGAAGTTATACGTTTAAAGTTTTTATTAGTATTCGCATTCACATTGAAAATTATAATTCTCTTTTCAATTTGCACGGAAAAGAAAGAGAAAGAAGGAAAGAAAGAACTGTCTTAAGCTCTCTACACTGTACGCCCTGAGCCCCCAAACCAATACTCTTTTTTTCCAATAATAAAAATAATAATAGTCAGCTCTTGTTATAGCGGTTAATACATCTCGGATGCTTATAAGTAACATATCAATTATTCCTCCTTTTTGTTTAATATCCTTCTATTGGATTTAAATGAGTTTTTCATCCAAACTTTCTGTTCTTTTGCCAGTAAACAAGTTAAAGTATTTATTTTTCACAGACTGTCATGCATTTATTCTACTCCTGAATATATGTTTAAGATTACATTTGTATATGAGAGGGTATAAACGTTAGTAATATTACTCTGATCTATCGGGACCCTTATATTCCATTATTCATTGTTATCATAATAGCATGAAAACAGTGGATTTGGTAAATTCAACATGACAGTGGCTTGGCTATTAAACTGCGCTTAATATCATGGAGTCTTAAATATTTGACACACTACCCACCGAACTTTAGAATACTTAAACAAAACGCTTTAATTTTTTAAACTTTTGATTATACCTTTCCGATGAATGGAGCATATATCGTTTCGCTCTAGGAAATACCCGATAATTCACAAATTATACGCACTGCGCTTACAATAACGTACATGCAAACGCAAACTGTACACTGTAATAAAACATCGTTGTCACATGGTGTATAAATCCTCAACGCAAAGATATAAAAACAAACAGATTTTGTTTCTTGTATAATTATACCCCATTCACAGTGGCCTCAAACACCGCGACAGCAGCGGGACTGTCCCGCTGCTGTCGCGGTGTTGTCTTCAGTGTGAAGGCTCGGACCCGTTATAAACTATCGCGGGATAACACCGCCTCGCGATAACGCCGCGACAAACTATCGCTAGGTTCGCCTAGCTACAGCAGCGGGACAGTCCCGCTGCTGTCGCGGTGTTTACTCAGTGTGAAGGCTCTCCGCTATAACACCGCGACAAACACGTGTGATTTGTTTACTTACCTATCACTGACCTCTTTTCTCCAGCAATGGGGAACATAAAGTGAAATAGAAATAAAGTAACCAGTGGATTCAAATTGATTTTATTATTATGTAGATATTATAATTATCCAAATAAAAATATTTCACACTTCAAAAAATTAAAATATTCTGACTGGAAGCAATAAAAATGCTAGTTTTTTAAAAAGTAATATGATAAAACCCCGCGCTGAAGTATTTCCGGTCATATCGGGGTCACTCGCGGGTCATGAGCCATGCATACACGTGTTTGTTACGGAGGTAATAAAAATCACCCGCTGCAGCGTGAATGGGTACATGATATTTATCCCGCTGCTGCAGCGGGATAACTTTTCTACTGTGAATGCATTTGTAGCGGTGTTATGGCGGTGTCGCCGCTCCGCTACAACACCGCTACAAATTTCAAAACCACTGTGAATGGGGTATTAGAAATACATCTTTGTAATCACTTTAACACAAACTTTGATGTATATGACGCTACATATATAGTAATGGTTATCTTCTCTGTTGGTTGCATTTCAAACATACCATTTGTTGATTTTCTTCATTATATAATTGTTTTATATATGCATTGTGAAACAAAATGTTCATGCTTATGAATGAACTTTACTAATAAAATTCAAACAAGACATAGATGGGTTCGATAAGGATGTGATACAATACGAATGTCATGAACAAAGTGTATAGTACATATTCGCCTGAGCGGTCTGACCAAGTATGAACATATCAGTTATTATGGGCTGACGAGCAATAGGATTAGAAGACAAATAAAAATAAAGGAAACAATAGATGAAATGCTTGATATTCTATATAAAGTTCTGTTTCAGCTATCTTGTTAATTTCCCTTAACCCATCGTTTATGTCTTTGACTCTCTTTGTTCTCTGATGCGCTTCTATATACCATGGCTTATCCTTATGTCATTTGTTTGTATTATTGTTACCGATGCAGGTTACTAGCGGCTACCATTTGCTCCTCATCATGGCGTCCAAGTTCCCATCAGAGGGAGATGAAAAGGTCAAGCTACACACTAGAAAAGGTCATGACATGAAATGGTCATGTGACATACACGGTGAGCCAATCAAATTTTACTGTAAAGAACACGACATCCCTCTTTGTCATCCATGTGCGACCAAAGATCACCAGAAACCATGTCACCTTGAAAATATCGGACATGTCACCTTGGAGCTGGTCAGGAAGCTGGATGATAAACGGCTTGAAATAGAGAAAACGAAACCACACTTACAGAATCTGGACTCTAAAATACAAACTTGTTCAGCTGATGCAAGAAAACATATTCAGTCCATCGATGGTGTGGCTAACGCTACGTTCGAGAGTAAAATGAAGAGCGTGAAAGACACGGAGCGGGATAAAATTCGTTCGATAAACGAAGAGGCGGATAAGGACATACAGAAGATCAACGAGAAGAGAGAACAGCGAATCAAATCATGTAACGAAGAAGCAGAACAGCAACATGTAGTCATTAACAAAAAACAAGCAAAAGTTCTTTTAGAAACCAAAGAAATAAGCGAGGTGGTTTCTAAAAAGATAAAAGATCTTATAAGTAAGAATCAGCATGCAATCAGCACAATAAACAATATTGACACCAATATCAAACGAATCGAACAAGATGACAAAACATTAGTAAATGAAGCTCATCAAGTAATTGCAGCACTTAATGACAGTTTAAGTTCGAATGTTCATCAAGATGTTAGCGACTGTCTTGACCGAATACAGCGTGAAGTTCAGAAAGTGAAGTTTGTCGAGGGTGAAGTAGGTGGGGAACACTATGGGAGAATTGATGGCTATATCGGTAAATGGGAGCTTGTCAAGTCGATCCACATTCCACCGATAGTTAATTACTCACGGGTGTGTAGTTTGATCAGTGATGATGAGATATGTGTGCGGGAAGTAATGAACGATGTCATGTACGTTACAAATATTAGCACTGAACACACACAGGAAGTCACTGAAGGAAGTAGTAACATGTATATTACATCATGCGCCCCCATAGACAGTAACGTAATAGTATGTGGTAAGGGTGGACAAGGCTTCACGGGTGACAGCTTGGATGGATGCATCACTCTCTATGACAGACAATGGAAGGTGATTAGAGACATCAGCATACCGAGGAATAGCAGCTATTATGTAGAGGTGTACGTTGATGTTGACAGGGATGGGATGATCCTCGCTGCTCAGTACGATCAGTCTAATATCTACGTCATCAACCCTGCTGATGGTAAGATAGTAAACACTATTACGATGCATGGCAAGATGGTGAGGGGTGACTTACAAGCCTTGTCATCAGGTGATATCGTTGTGAAGACAGGTAATGATAAATTCACTGTCATCTCACGGTCGGGAGAAGAGAAGGCTGTCATACACTGTGATGAGTGGAAGTCGGCACAGTGTCGCGTTGACAAACTTATACCCCATTCACAGTGGTTTTGAAATTTGTAGCGGCGTTGTAGCGGAGCGGCGACACCGCCATAACACCGCTACAAATGCATTCACAGTAGAAAAGTTATCCCGCTGCAGCAGCGGGATAAATATCATGTACCCATTCACGCTGCAGCGGGTGATTTTTATTACCTCCGTAACAAACACGTGTATGCATGGCTCATGACCCGCGAGTGACCCCGATATGACCGGAAATACTTCAGCGCGGGGTTTTCGTAAACATGTCAAGTTGCTTTTTGTATCCTCGATCATATTACTTTTTAAAAAACTAGCATTTTTATTGCTTCCAATCAGAATGTTTTAATTTTTTGAAGTGTGAAATATTTTTATTTGGATAATTATAATATCTACATAATAATAAAATCAATTTGAATCCACTGGTTACTTTATTTCTATTTCACGTTATGTTCCCCATTGCTGGAGAACAGAGGTCAGTGATAGGTAAGTAAACAAATCACACGTGTTTGTCGCGGTGTTATAGCGGAGAGCCTTCACACTGAGTAAACACCGCGACAGCAGCGGGACTGTCCCGCTGCTGTAGCTAGGCGTGCCTAGCGATAGTTTGTGTCGGCGTTATCGCTAGGCGGTGTTATCCCGCGATAGTTTATAACGGGTCCGAGCCTTCACACTGAAGACAACACCGCGACAGCAGCGGGACAGTCCCGCTGCTGTCGCGGTGTTTGAGGCCACTGTGAATGGGGTATGACAGACACACTCTACATCACATACTTGGATAGAGAGCGTAATATCTACGCGGTCGATCAGGTGTCATGTGATGGTATCATACAGGCAAGGAGGATCGTGGAATACGAGAAATCAGACCGACGCTCCCTCACTAACCCATGCATTGTAGCTGCGTCTGGTAACCTTGTAGCTTGTGACGGAGACAAGCTCTTTGTGTACAAGAACAAATTTATTGTATGAGTCATCTGAAGAAATAGATGTAATTCCTCATACTGCAGGATTAATTAGCCTCAGCGGAATAAAGGATTATTTGATTGTTTATATAACTCAGTTGAAGGTAAAACATCTGTATTTTTCGCGAAGAAATGTTTTTAAACAGATTTTTTACTTCGAAATCTCGACTTCTTTTTAGAAGTTGTTACAAACTCCATACCCTGAATAAAATAATGTTCACCTCTCAATAATCACATAATATTGTCTTAATATAAAATAGCTTAAATTAGAATCATAGCAATTCATAGGATTTCTTTAGTAATTGAACAACGCGTTTGGAGAGTATTTCTGGTGTGCAAAATGTTCTAAATATACCCGGATGAACCTATTTTATCATATGTATGTTTTTAATATATATGTATGATTAATGTCGAGTTTAATGAAATTGATTTTTGAAGCTTTCATGTGAACCGATATTCAATGTATGGGATCAAACTAAAGCATGGATTGAGAAATTAATACTTATTCTAGGAGAAAAAGAAAACAATACATCATTTCAATCCCTTTCGATACAAAGTCTCAATAGGCTTAGCCACTTTAAAACTTTAAAACAGTGAGGACATGTTATGAAAATAAGCTTGACATCGATAAGAATAAGATTTGGCGAATTTTCTTTCATGTCCAAAGTTATTGCGATATTTCATTAGGGTTTTAGAGGGGCATATTTGTCCTAAATCATTTCAGGTTCAAAGCAGATGTCATCAATATCATGTCAGTGTTCGGTAAAGGTAGCTAGAACAGGGAGGGTTATGACCTAATCTGTTGAAGTTGTGTGGACGATTTAATGAACTGAGACATTCAATTCATCATATTGATTATTGTTGGTTTATATTATAGATTTATACTTTTATAACGATATTAGTATTGCTGTACCTGTAAATGTATGTAAAGACAAACAGATAATTGTACAGGCGATTCAGTAAACCTTATAATCTCTTGCTTCTATATCGAATCACAGTTATTTCTTTTCATACCGCTGTCAATCTTTGTTTCCAAACTACTGTGCATCTATCTCAAATCCGTCAAACTGAAAACACCAAATGCCCCTCATGAATCTCATCAGTTCTGTAGACTTATTTTTCGGTATTTCTACTTCGGTGTGTACTTTTCTCTTCTACATTAATCCTTCAATAATTAGTACACAGGAGTAAACTTTTCTTGTGTATAAATATCATTACCTACAACATTGTCACTGTCCCTGGTAAAGTATATTTTAAAGAAAATAATCGAACAATCCTTAATTTGAACAGTATATAGATTTTCTTTCTTCGTATTATCTTATATAGTTTTATGTTTACATATGATATGCTATTTAATGTTTCAATAATAAATGTAAACTATTCTTTTTAATGTATAACTGTAATATGTTGCTCGTTATTTTCTGATGGAAATTGTTAATTAAGCACAATCCAACATTACATGTATCTGAAAATCCATGATTTCGTTGAAAAGTTTAATAGAATTAGATTTCGTGGAATGAAAATCTGTTACATTTGTTACAGTAAGCCTATATTTATTTATCTTCACTTTGTCTTAGGTTCATTCCTAGTAATATAAGTAGTGAAACATATGAGGTTAGACGCGCTTTAAATGTAATAACAGAAACAAACCTGGGGTTGTAAATAGTACAGTTTGCAAACATTTGCTAAACGTTTTAGCTCACGGAGAGGAAACCGGCTATGGAATTAGCCTCATAAGAATATTTCAATAGTTATGCTCCGTCATTTACAGGAATCGATTCATCTTATTAAAATATATCTTTATTTTTTTTAAATATCACTTGTCATAAGTGCAAAGAGTAGTTCCTGAGCGTTGACGAAACACTCCTTACTATTAAGTGTAGTTTGGTAGTCATGTAAGTGTAGTTTGGTAGTCATGTTTATTTTGTTCATTTTCATTCTGGTATCTATTATCATTTTAATACCTGTGACCTTTGCGAAGAAAACCATGCCAACCTGGGTTTTCCTTTCGTCAGCCTAATTAATCAAAATAGAAACTTCATTAAAAATATCTCATTAGTATGTGTCATTCTCTCAGTGTGATCTTTAAAGGCCCACTGTACTACTTGTAGCTACTTGCTCCCTATATAAATATACCAAAAAAAATCCCCAATCGGTGCCTGTTGGTCCCCCATGATCCTCTATTTATTATGTTATGTGAAGGCTGAGTTGATGAGATAGCCACCTGTCAGTGACCTCAATGTGTGGTCTAATCCCTCCTGGCCAAACTAGTGCAGATAAGCTTTAAAATGTATCACTTAAAAAGGTATTTGTTACACATATACAAAATAAATGAGCATCAAGCATAGTTGGATTAGGGTTAAGTGATATGAGCGAGAGAAATGAGATAATGAAGAAAGGAAACAAGATAGAGAGAGAAAGGGCAGGGGCGGATCTAGCTTTTTGCTAAGGGGGGGGGTTTGACCAAAATAATGACGATGCAGAGCATCGTCCACGAGCCGCGTAGCGGCGAGCCGATTTTTTTTGGGGTGTTTATTTGAACCCCGTAAGTGATGTTTTCCTGGCATCTATTAACACAATGGAGACCATAAAAAGCAGTGCATGATAACGTCTTTTTAAATCAAGTAACAGCTTAATACACAGTTATATCCAGCCTTTTTATCATGTGTTTGGTTAAGTTACCAGATGAGTTGAATATCTTCTCACAATATTTGCACTTGAAAGGGTTTCTCTCCAGCGTGCGTTCTTTTTTCTTTCTTTTTTTATTTCTTTTTTTTTTTTTTTTTTTTTTTTTTTTGGGCCGCCCAAGGGGGGGGGGGGGGTTTGAACCCCCTAAACCCCCCCCCGTAGATCCGCGCCTGAAGGGGGAGGGTGAGAGAGAGAGAGAGAGGAAGAGAGAGAGAGAGAGAGAAAGAGAGAGGGAGAGAGAGAAAGACAAAGAGAAGGAAGAAGTGGGGAGACACCAGTATGAAACAGAACAAGAAATGAAATCGTGCTATAGCTACAAAAAAAAGAGCGTTAGGTGAGGAATATTGTTTACGAGGTTATGCTTCAATAAGACATCGACGACTATCATGATTATTCATCATAACCCTGTTCATTGTTTTGGTAATGACTGAGATGATGATGATGATAAGGATGACGATGATGATTAGGATAACGAGGATGTTAGTGTATAATCACTATGGTTATATTTTATACCAGCGTGATGCTACATCATCATTATCATCACCTTGATTGTCATAATATTATTTTCATTTACAAGAACTGTTAGGATATCATCAGAATGATCGCCATGTTTTATCCAAATGGATTGGAAATTTCTCTATTGCGTTCTCTAGCTACAGGTTTATTGCTATTAGTAGCTTATTTAGTATTTCAGGGAGAGCTCGAAACACCAGACCTAATCGTTTGTAAGGTAAAGATTAAAGATTAAAGCAAATCTGTATGTCAAACTGAGAAGTCAAAAGCTATTTAGGAGGCAAGGGATGTTTGTTATAATATGAATAATAATTCATTATCCATGTATGAGAACCATAAAAGACATGGGTAATGCTAGGCTTTGATAACAATACAATAACATGTTCATATCAATGCAAGTATTAATGCAAAATTTGTATGTCAAAGGAGTAAGTCAGAAACAGAACGATATCCATTATTCGAAAATTAAAATTAAAGTTGATATTATTTTTATCGTCAACTTGGAAATTCGATAAGTTTCAAGCTTGTTGCAAATATCAATTGTCAACAATGTTTACATTTTTGAAAACTGAGCCGGTGCAATGATAAGTAGGATTGTAATAATGCAATGATTTTCCTTTCCGATACTCTTAAAGGCATCGTTTAACAATGTTAAATCTGAGATGCACGGCCCTAGGTACTACCAGTTCAGGCGCGTACGCAGGGCGGGGGGGGGGGGGGTAACCCCCCCCCCCCCCTTTGGTATTTGTATGTGTATAAACCCCCCCTCTAAACCCCCCCTTTTTTTGTAATAATTAAAAAAAATATTTTAAAAAATAAAAAATATTCACATGGCTGACCTAGAAAAAGGTGACCTTACCCCCCCCCCCCCCCCCCCAACGGAGCAAAATGTCAAATTTTCAAATTTCGATACCAAAAAAAAAAAAAAAATTCTTGATGCATGAAAGGACCGAACTGAACGGGTAAGGACACAGTGCATAGAAATAGGTCCCGAAATGGGGATTCCCCCCTCGACCCTTACAAACCATAACGCAATGGTAACAAAAAGTCTCGCCAACAGATGACGCTCGGCTATGTTGTCGAATAGATAGGTTGACTAATGTTCATAGTAACAGTGAGTTAGAGATGGCCGCTTCACTCTTGGACGCTCTGGCAAAGCAGCTTACTAGCAGACGATCTCACAATGCTTGTAACGTAGTAGTGCGGACTTCGTTTTGGTTTAATTCGAAATTGATAACCACTTCATCTGCCCTTTAAATAGGCAAATATGGGATCTGATATAAGCCCCTTTACCACACCACAGTGGTTATATTTTACTACTCGATAGTACACAAGTCGAGTACATTCATAGACACCCCTACTCATACCCTCTGCAAAGTAGATGGTACACCTGGATCAACGACACTTACCCGACGTGGCCGGGGGAGTCAGCGCTCAGAAGGTACCTACCAAAGGCAAAGCACCCGTAATTGTTCCGTTTTTGATTTTTCTTTGTACTCGTTTTTTACAGTAACATTTTGTAACCATTTAAAGGCAGTGTAGTAGCCATGATCAGAATGCCCATATGAAGAGTACATGTGATTGTCAGCTATACATTGGACTAAAACGGAGCCTCACGATTACGTTTCTTGCATTGGGAGATCGTCTGCTACTTTGCTAGAGAGTGAAGCGCGCCATCTGCAACTATGTATACATTAGTAAACCAGTTTATTGTTGGTAGTAATACAAACTATAATAATTTTGCTTTCCAATGCTGTCAAGCATTATTATTGAACCTAATCTTATCGAGATGTTTACAAATAAAAA